GTTCCCGACCATTCCTGCATAGGGTAGAAGACCACTAATCTTGAATCTACGCGAACCGATATTCCTTTCCATATTTCTGTGTAGATCGTAAAGGAAGTAGAGCATGATGATCAGTAATAATGGCTTCAAAGTTCACAAAGCATCCATTTTTATACTCCAGAGTTTCATAAGTCTATTGTGCACAACCCACCTTGAAACTGAAATAGATTAGTAACCCGCCGGCCGGGTCACCCGTCTGTCCCCTACGCCTTTGAATCGAGGGTTATGAAATGTAGAGAGCAGAAAATGAAACTGTCCAGTTTGTATACGATACAGAAAGTCTCACAAAGCGTTCTTCAAGACAATGCGAAAGGCTAGTTGAACAAAGTTGCCCGGAAACCAAGTGTAAGTTATTGTAAAGCGAGAATTCTTCCACACAAAATATATCACATGCCAAAGTTTTGTGTTTGGATTTTTTTAATGTTTAAAAAAAGCACAAACTTATCTAACATCTATTACTGAATAGGGATTTCCAGAAAGTCTACAATGCGCTACACAGATTGGTCGAAGTGTAGACCAGCAACACCAGTCAGTTATATCCAGAATGTTCTCACCGAACTGTTTGGAGGATGAATATTATGCACTGAGAGCAAGCAGATATCGTATATAGTCGTTCAAAACCAGTTAACCTATTCAAATTTTGTGAAAATTTTACGTGTCAAAAATTCGTATTATTCAAAGATGTGCAATGTATTTGAAAACTTTTGCTTCAAGGCTCCGCGTCTAGCACACGAATATGTATAAATATTTATTGATGTACATATTAAGGCGCAATTAACACAAGACACTAGTCAGGTAGCGTTAAGATAGCATTTGTTAGTGGGCACAGGTTCTCATGTTTCATACACCTACTATGTATAACATATCCTGTGCTCAGATAGGACAGAATATCGCTGTTTGTTACGGCTTCCTTGCATACGAGACAGACGGTCTTATCGTCGACCTAAATATGCACAGTGAAGTTCGTCTCCTTCATCATAGGAGAAGTAAACCATTACCAAATAGGTGATGCACCAACCTAGATTTTGCATAAGTAAGGATACTACAGGAAGCAGTCAAGCCAAACTCAACATAGATCTCTATAGTTCTGGAATCTTTTACCAAGAGTTCCGGGTTGAAATAATTTGCAACCCACCAACCATTATGTGACAGCCTCACATTATGCTAAAAGTGCTCTTGGGTGTAAACTTCGCCGGATGCCCCACACGCGAGCAGCCCCATTTTATGAACATAGTGTGCAGGGTTGCGAGAATAGCTTGCTTTCCTGAAGAAAGCACTTACATGCGTGATGTGCCGGATGCTGTCCCAGCACCCAATAGTGCTAACAGGGTGCAAATCTACCGGTATTTAAGGCACCGACATCTTTATGCTACCGTCACCTCACATATTTACGTAATAACAAATTCAGAGGGTATGATTCGATAAAAATGACCTATTACTGGTTACAATAAGAATCTACCTTATTTTTGTACAAAAACCAAACCTTACTGTCAATCTGTGAGAGAACCACATTGAATGGGCATTGGTCTACTGCGGTTATATACGTGCTGATCACGAAAACTGAAATTTCTGTTTAGAGAATTACCAATCTCTGA